CTCAAGGGTGAGAGAAGGTTCTTATCCCTTCAAACTTTTAAAATATTACAGTAATTATCTAATTGCAATAGAGGACTCTTCTAAGACCCACTTACTAAGGGGGTTTTCTTCTATTTAGGAGAATTTTCTCACCAAAGGTTATTCCCCTATTCGAGGGATTTTTTTCTCGCTTAGGAGAATCTTTCTCTTATAAAACTCATTTCACAACTCGAGGGAAATTTATGGTCTTGCCCAAAAATTTATTCACTTGCTCCTAGTAAGTAATCTCTTTTAGGAGTATTTAAGCTTTCTATGGTTTCATGTAATATGATAGATTATGGTTATTGCTTATTCACCATCTCCAGTTAGCTTTGAAGTGAAGCCCTAATTCTTGAATCTCTAGATTCATCACATTCGAACTCTTGTAACTTCTATCTTTTTAGGCTGTTGGGACTATAATCCTACTTTTTCACGTCCACGAATATTTTAGAGGAAATTCCAAAACATCTCCTAAGGTGTGTATTATCTTATTTCTTTTTAACTTTAATCCTTATAAGAATCCTAAATCTCATGATATAAGGTATGGTTCCAAAGAACGTGAGATTTGATACCAATTGTAACGATTCACTTTTTCTGTTGAGAAAGGAGCGCTATTCTTCTCACATAATCTAGTAAACTTAAGATTCTTTTATCTCCTACATGGAATTACAAGTCACAAGGCTTACAAAATTTCTTACATTATATTGCTATAATATAATTAAACTGATTTTATAAGATAAACTCTTACCGTAACTAAAGGTTCTTCAAAGTCTTCCTTCGACCTTGAACTTACTTTTGATATGGACTAATCTGCATTGGGGAGTTATGAATTAGGGTGAGCTTCATGGATTCAGTAAGGAAAAAGGGCAGTGCCCACAATAGTGACATGCACACAATCAATCACCAAATCTTTTAAATCAGTTCATCCAGTAAACATAATTGAGGGCATAACAGTTCCATAAATAACATAATTCAATATTCAGTATCACAAATTAAGTAGTAAGCAGTTCAGTAGATATTAATTCAGTATTTCAGTATTATAAACCTTACTCGTGACTTCCTATTTCCTTCCCATAAGTTTGTATCTTATTAAAATAGTTTCACCACGCGATGTCGTTTCTGCCGGCATCAATGAGGGCAATAAAGATCCCCTCTACTATGTGAATACGATACAATTGAGTTCACAGTTTGTAGTACACAGTCTACAATTCATAGTTCTTATCGCTTTGCCACATCTGGCTAAAGCCGTATCCACGGGTAGGATTCACCACAGTCACATACCAAAAGGGTACACACACACACACCCCTCGGTGATACCGGTTAAATGGATTTTTTCTTCTTTTAAAGATTCTTATGTTATTTTTTACTAATCAGGTCCATTACTAGATGACTTACTCAAGTATCCACCTACTTATATATCATATATGCTATACATCAACATGCCTACACAATAAGCATAATATATACACTTTACATGCATAGTTATCAACTCAAATAAATATATATGCACACACAACACATACAACATGAATATACTTGTATATTTACACAAGGCATATGCGCATTCTATAAGCAGACACATACAAGTTATTCACTCATACGTACATACGTTGTACAACCTATAATTTTACATATATATGTGTGTGTCATACACACCTATAACTCGATAACTAGCATGCATAAAATTTGTATATACATACCAGTAACAATATGAATATATAATTATAAGTCATACACAACCGCATGTAGGTTTCCAATAATATCCAATTGCACACACGTGAATATGATGAGTTTGCAGAACTCGTGGTGAAAAATGTGAACAGTTTTGTAAACAAGTCATTTTAACAGAAAATAAGGTTTCATAAAAATATGGGGTCCTCTGAATGAGACTAACCCAATCCCTTACCTACAGTCGAATCGGAAGGTGTTGGAATTCTTATTGGTTTAAGTCTATGGTCATCTCTAAATCTTGACTACCGTTTAGATAATTTCATCGTTTGCAAACAAAAACACGTGGGTTAGAAGATGGACATTGTGGAAATAATTAGAATACAAAAGGAGATAGAATTTTACCGTAGTGTGATCCCGATCACCGGAATCGCCACACGCCACCATACGCATGTCCTTGATTTATTACGCGTCGCTGCCTGAGCGCTGTTGCTGAAACACTGCCACTGGACCATTGTCGGCCACCGCACACTGCTCTGAACCATCGCAAATCGACTGGAATTCACCATGAAATACTTCGTACACTCATATCCAACACGTATATGGTGCAATTGCACCGAAAGAAGCCAGGGATAGGCGACCAACTACCACAGATCTCCTTCTTCTTCAAATGCATGTCGTCACATGATTCTCACTCTAGTTTTCGATTGTGCAAATCGTTGGCCGCCTAGACTCCTCAGCTTGTCGCAATGAAAGCCGCGCACTGTCATAGACGGCCTCGCACAGGTCGATTAACAGCCGTGAATCCCTCTCACAGGTCTTTTTCTCTCTCTTCGAACAACCCTCTTTTTCTCTCCTTTCTGATTTTTTCTATTTTTCCTTTAATAGGCGAGAGGACGGAGAGCCTTGCAAGCCTCTTCTTCTTTCTTCTTTGGCATGTGGATTTCGAATTCTTCCTCGTCTTCCTTGGCTGCCAGAGGCATACACGCCTGTAGCTGCCCTAATTTTTTCTTTTTTCTATCACCAAAACGATATTGTTTTGGTGATAGAAAAATGATAGACCGCCTCGCACAGGTCGATTGGCAGCCACGACTCTCTCTTATAAGTCTATTTTTCTCTCTTCGCACAACCCTCTTTCTCTCTCTATTTTCTCTCTCCTTTCTGATTTTTTCCATTTTTCCTTTAATAAGTGGGAAGATGGAAAGCCTTGTAAGCCTCTTCTTCCTTCTTTTTCGGTGTGCAGGTTCCAAATTCTTCCTCGTCTTCCTCGGCTGCCAGAGGCGTACACGCCTTTGGTTGCCCTAATTTTTATTTTCTATCAACAAAACAACATGATTTTGTTGCTCTTAAAATGACATTATTTTGTTGCTATCAAAACGATATCGTTTCACCTACTTCTATTTTTCCTTCCTTCATATCAAAATGACGTCGTTTTTAGAGTTTTTTAAAACGACGTCGCTTTGGCTTTTTCTGCTTCTAAGAAGTAGATAGGTTGGGTTTGTTTCTCTGGGGCTGGGTTGTTATATATGTATTATTATTATTTAGAAAAGAATTAAAATTCGCCATTCCTATTCCAATTCTCGAACTCGGAGTGTTACATTTGTTGTTGCATCGAAAACATATAAATGTTGACTAATCTAGCTAATATTGAACTTGGTAAAATGAAATGATTGAATAATTAAAAAATGAGATTATTCAAGAATACACATTGGATGCAAAGATTACACATTAAATTTCTAATAGTAGATCCATAATTAAAAAAAGTGGTAGTAGATCCATAATTAAAAAAATATTTGTGATTATTCTAGAAAAAATGAAACAAAAAATACGGTAAAGTTAAGACAATTATTTTATAAAGTCTACCCAATACTAAATGCAAATGCGCATAATAGATCGATATGAACATCATGAGCTGTCCCCCAATAAAACTAGTTGTTGCTGATACCTTCTTCTTCTTCTTTCATAATTTGAGTTCAGAGAAGAAAGAGATAAAAATGAAAAATTATATAGAAAGTATTTTTTTTCAAACTGTAATATCGAATAAATTTAATTATTATATTTTTATCTTTGACAAAGTGAATTAATATATAATTTTAACTGAATATAATTAAAATTTATTATAATCCTTTACAATTTATTGAATTCTATTTTAATCTTATATACTATTGAATTAAATATAATAATAAAATAAATATTTGGTATTATAATTTTGGCAATCGAAGTAATTTTTATTAGTTTTAACAAAGTTGAACCATTAAAAGTCCAAGAGAACAAAATTGAGTATCCATGGGCTTTGCCGCTGGACGGATCCGTAGATCGATCGAACCAAGGCATGCAAATTAATAGGCCTATCGTTTTAAAATAAACCAGGCTAAACGACACCGTTCTGTTGATAACAAAGGAGATCCGATTTCATTTCTTTCACAACCAGACTGAACGACACCGTTCTGTCAATAACAAAGGAGATCTGATTTCCTCTTTCAGAACAAGGCTAAACGACACCGTTCTACGAATAACAAAGGAGATCTGATTTCATTTTACCTCCGCAAAATTTCAACGAGACGACCCACCCCCGCCCACACTCTTTCCGACTCTGTCACTGCATCTGCTCCCCGTCGACGA